TATATATATACGTTTTCTTGAAATGAATATTTAAAAGGAAAAGAAAGAAAAAATATAGAAGAAAATATTACACAAAGAAGAAAAAGAGGATATTTCATGAAATTAATTAAAATATCAAATTGTATATCGATATGATTCCTCGAATAAAAGTGTATCACAACCCCTGCTCCTCCTTCTCCTCTTCCTTCCCCCGATTAACTCGATAAATCAAACCAAACTTTAGACTATATTGTATGAAACTAGATCACGTTTTTCGACAAAGATTCATGTACGTCGATATAAAAGGTCCCTCCTTTAGGTTTTCTTTAGTTCGTAAGAAAGATGGGAAGGATAGCCATCTAGAAGAAGCGTGCGTTAGGCCAACTCGTTGCTAGTTTGCTCCAGTTACTGTACTTAGCTCTAACTCCATTACCATCTCACTCGTTCGAGAGTTCTAATTGATTATATGGAGCGGTAGTTCCCTCGGAGTTCGCTCGTTACTTCGAGGTTGCTCATCCACCCTCCTTATTTTATCTCTTCTTCTTCTTTTTCTTCTTCTTCTTCTTCTATCTTCTTTTCTTTCTACGTCGACTATCGTATATTTTACTCGAAGAGGAGTTATATTTACGAGTTACGTTACGGATAAACGATAACAGAATAGAACAAATACTTGAAACTTAAAATATAAGTAAAGCTCGATTGTTAAAATGGTCGAGATTAATTCTTTAGAATTTATTTTCTTTTTCTAAAGACAATTTTTGTCTTCGTTAAATATAATACAGCTATTAAACATTTTGTTTATTTTCGTCGAACGTCTGTGTTTTTAGAAGAATGATTTAAAAAAAAAAAAAGAAATATAATTTCAAACTCGAATAGTTATTTTTAACAATCATACGCGGCCGTCTGTTTGTGTAATTCGCATTTACAATTTAAAAATATCAAAATATCATCTACTAGGGATAAAACGCTTTTTTTCGGTTGGAAACACACATTACTCGTATTCACACGCACACGGTCCCCCAAAAGTTTCGGTATATGTAATTTCATCTCTTTTTTTACGCCGGGTGCACCGTTTAATTGCCTTCCAACGTTTAGTTCTTATATTTTTTACTCTGTAACTGGGATTGCACCCAACTATGACTAATTTTTCATTGATAAACTTGTTCGTTTCTCTTATTAAAGTAATCAAGAATCAGATATTCAATGCCAATATATGTGTATTATCTCGTTAAATATTTTTTTAAATAAATACAATTAATATTTATTGTGTTTTAACTATATATAAGTATTATATATAATATAATACGCGAGAAGAGGAAGAACGCAACGTATCGATAAAATAAAATATAGAGATGGAAAATTTATCGAGGGAAAACTAAAAAAAAAAAAGAGGAAACAAAACAAACAAAAAAATTCGAAATAGGAACAAGCCTTATCATAGCGAGCTGTCATTCTTTCTTTTGTTTTTGCTCTAACAATATCTGACAACGACATTTCGTATGATAAAAGAGCTATTATTCGCCTCGGTAACTCTGATCGATGAACTTCTATCACACACACATACATGAAACGTGTTTTTAGGATTACGTCGAGAAGTCGCGAAAAAATTTTTCTAATAAAAGTCCAATAACAATGATCAATATCGACAAATTAATATACAGACGTTACTAAATCCTTGTGCTTGCAGATTTCTTTTTTTTTTTTTTCTTGTAAAATAAACAAAAAAATATAAAAACAATGAACAACAGTTTATAATTATAATGAACGTACGAGTGTAAATAATGTTGATAAATAAAAAATGTTCAAAAGATCGAAGGAAAAATTTATTGTTAAATTTATATTAGAAATATATAAGGTGTAGCAATTAATTCGGTGCTTCGTTATTAAAATTCATTTCATCAAAGTCATTGGAAATAATGGAGACTATTTCGAAAAATTATAAATGTTTTATTGCTTTATAAATAAATAATAAATTTATTTATAAGACACCGAATATTAATTGCTATATCTAATATATACATATACGCCAATATGACAACGATATTATTATTGCAGAAGATCTTATATATTTCGTTTGTGAATATTTTTTCGTAATCGTAGATAAATCTCTCATAGAGATAAAAGATCAATGCATATATCTTATTAATAGTATTCTCTTCTTATGCTTTTGTGCAAGGACTTAACGATATGAGCTTACTCGGATCTCAAAGAATTATTTAAAAGATGAAAAAAAGTTCTACCCAAGATGGCTATTTAATATTTGTTTTTTTTTTTTGTTCAAACACAGTTACATTTTTAACAAAAGGTTAAACTTGAATGAAAATTATTCGTGAAAATAATCATCTCGTGTAAGAAACTTTTATCTTTGAAATAAGTTACTGATCATCTAAATCAGACAAAAATTATGATCGTGAACAATTCGTGGCATAAACCTTTGCCAAGATGTAGAAAGAAAACGCCCCAAGATATTTTTAGATTCTGATTTTCATTCTTTTGTATGCATTAAAGCGAGAATATAACGATCGAGCAATGCAGAAGGTAGCAGATCGTGAGAATGAAATGTATCATCTCTGGGATTCGTATAATCGCTCATGTATAAAAATAT